CGGCTGTTGGAGCCCGTTCCGCCGGGCGACGCTGGCGTGCCGAGAATGCCGGGTGATGTGGGAGACGAGTCGGACAATGGGGTGGTTTTGTCGTCGTCTGGACTACGGTCGTCCGAAGCATCGCCCTCCGTATCATCATTGTCGTTCTCATTATCCCCTCCGTCTGACGTCAGGTCATCAGTCATATTGCTCGTCGATATCGGAGGCGGGGAGCCCATAAACTTTTTGCTTGCCATTGGCGCAGATGGCGTGGGTACAGGTGTGGCAGGTGCGGCAGACGGTGGCGCCTCGGTCTTGCCCGCAACCTTTACACCCGAAGCAGCACCACCAACACCGGCGTCGCCACCACCGCTGCGTTGCGGCGAGCTGGCCGCGGAAGGCGAAGAGATAGCGCTGAGATTCGGCGCTGAAAACCGGCGGCCTTCCTTCCCGCCTGCCGCAAGCTTTCTGAGATCACCCCCGCCCGAGGGAATGCCCTCGGCCGAGGACGCAGCAAGGCTGGCGACGTCCTTTTCGGCGAAACTAGAGATGCTCTTGCGCTTGCCAGCGGTCTTTATCTTGGAGTTACCGCTTCCCATTTGCACGCCGATGTGGTCTGTGAAGGGTTAGGCGGGTATGGTTTGCTACTATAACTGCAGGCGCCAGTTTTGTGGTGCGGAAGTGGGCGGGCAGGGTCGAGGAAGAGGTAGGTCGGCTAACGAATAAAGATTCGAAGGTAGAGAGTGTCTGGATGGAAGTGGGTGGATGGGCCGAGCGAGAATCCTACAGGTGAGAAGCGAGGGGTGGAAGGGAGGAGGAAAGGCAGGAAGAGCGTCACGGTCTAAACGAACGCGCCAACACAACGCAACCACTTTGTGGCAGGCCCCCGCTCGCGTGGCCAAATACCCCACCAGAGATAATCAATCGGCCGGAATAATGACGGCACAGAGCGGCTTGGGGCAAGTTGGGGGGGAAAGCAAGCGGCCTGTTGTTGTATCTTTATACTTGCGATGCGTCGAATTTGTCGGTGGAGCTGCAGACTCTGTGCAGACCAGGTGCCCGGCGCTAACTCACGACCAAGTTAAAATATCAACCGACATGTCACTCACTCAACCCTCCGCGAGGAAGGAAGGAAGGAAGGAAGGGGCGCAGGTGCAATCACGAGGGCACCCTAAAATCATTTGGCATTTAAGTTGCCACAAAATGTCTCCTGTTCCCGCGCAAACCAACAGCCCAACACGCCAGGCTGCCACGCTTGACAGGTATACGGCCGTGAATTCCTACAAAAATGTACACTTATGGCGCTATTTTGGCTTGACAAACGTTATCGAATAATTGGATTAACCACTTCGTCCTGCGCTGAGCGAGATTCGAACTCGCGCCTCTTGCGAGACTACGACCTGAACGTAGCGCCTTAGACCAACTCGGCCATCAGCGCATAGAATTAGCCAACTCGAAACCTTTTCCTCGTCCCAACTATAATGAAACATTTCTTTTGTGAAATGCAAATCATGTTAATCACGCGAAAAGAAAAAGCAATTCAAAAGGATTTGCTCCCCCAACCATCATGTAATGCCCAGCGTCAGGTTTGAACCCGCAACCTCATGTGTCCAAGGTCACTGACGTGCTTCTGAGGCAACTTGTCGCGATGGAATGAAGTGTACGATTTGTGGTTTTGAATAGTCGTTCAGGGCGTGCGCAGCATAATTAGCTACACCTATTGTATGACAGCTCCGGGCAGAAAGCTTGCTGGAACTCAAGACGGGCCTCAAGCGGCTGTTGTGTAACCCGCCCCAGCCTTCTGATAACTGAACTTGGCGAGCCCAGCGGAAAGCCTAGTGTGGTGCGAAGACGGCACGTACAGCAAGTTCATTGGCGAGAAACAGCCCGAGGGGACAACAAATGGGATAAAGCGGGCTCGCTGTGTTTTAAAGTATCAATGTGTCGAAGAAAAAAAAAAAGACGACAACAAGAAACAGGGGGGGTATACAGTTTTAAAGGGAAGCAGGAGTAACAAGAATTTCACGCGCCAAGCTTCCCAGCAGCGATACGGTCGCCTTTAATCAGCACGCCCTTAATGGGTCGTTTGGAAACCACGACCACCTTCTTCTCCACAGGCGCAGCCACGGGAGGCGGTGTTGCCTTGCTGTCGTAAAAATCATCAATCAGCGCAAAGGGGTCCGCATCAAGCTCCAAGTCGTCCATCCGCAGATCGGCGATAAAGGGGTCCGCTTTCGGCTGTTGAATCTCGATGGTCAGCGACGTTTCTTCAGCTTCAATGACATACAGATTTGAGCGCGCGTCGAGCGCGGCGAGCGTTCCAGTAAGGTATGCGCGGCCGCCTTTGGCCCCGGCGAGGCAGAGTGATATATGATGCGGCGGGTGGCCAGAGTCCAAGTAGGATGAAAAAGCAGCAGGGTCGGCGCGATCTCGAGAAACGAAATCCGCGTCGCCGAGGCCTAGAGCTGCATCGATGCCGCCCTCGACGGCTTCGAGGGTGGACGCGTTTATAACGTCCAATTGTTTCACTTCTTCTGTGTCAAGCATGTCTCCGCGGAACGCCCAGATTTCAGCGTCTGGCGGGAGGGTCAGGCTTTGCACAAGAAGAGACTTTTTGGGCAGGGAGGGAGTCGAGACGGCGGAAGAGTCGTCTGATCTTGGTTCCGATTTAACCGCGTCGGCCGCACACGGCGTTCCAGGGACAGGGGTGTTCGTTGCATCTGTGTCGGTTTCATTTTTTTCTGGAGGGCTGGTGGTGGTTGTGGTAGTGGTTGCTGTGGGTTCAGACTCTTCGTCGCGTGAGGTAGGCCTGATAATCTCAACGCCCGGGCGCGGGCCGGTGGTCCCGTCGGTTTTCAGCCCTCGCAACCGAAACTTGCCACGATTCGGCTTTTCTGGATCCCGTGGCGGGCACGGCTTCCACCCTTCGCGAACCGGTCTAGCAACAGCGCGCTCTTTGATAATGACCACAGGAGCTGGCGGAAGCCCCTCCGTCGAGAGTAATGGAATGGAAATAGCTGCATCAACGCGAGGCGCGGCGGCCTCGCCATCCGTTTTTTTGCCTCCATTTCCATTGCCCGCCGGCTTATTCCGGCCATTCACATTTGCTCCGTTCTGACCTTTTCTTTCATCCACGCGGCCCTTTTCTTCTCCCTTTCGCGGCCCGTTTCGGCCGAGATTGGGCTTGCTGCGCGCGTAGCGATCGAGGTTCGAACTGGACCCTCGCCGGCACTGGCTTCCGCTTCGACTTGCACTTCGGCTCCTGCTACGAGCACCGCCCCTCCTTATATTGTTATTGTTCCTGGAGCCGGTCCCATTCCGCGCACTTTTCGCGGACCGATTTGGGCTGCGGCTCCAGCTACGCCCAGTCCCTCGGCTCCTGCTTCGGCTCCGCCGAGAATTTGACCTATTGCGGGACCCTCTGCCTGGATAAGAATCAATCCGATTGCGCTCAGTGCGGACAGGTGGCGGGCTTCTAGCGCGACTAGAATCCCGCGAGCGAGATAATGATCTGCGGTTCTGCATGCTGCTGCCCTCTTTTGTCCAACCTTTATGCTGTCTCGTTCGAGATCTCGATCTCGATCGCGACCGTCGGGCTTCAGCAGACCGCGGCCGTGACCGGAAATCACGACGCGGGTTGTCAACTTTGCTGTGAACCGCCGTGCGTGGAGCGGGCGGCGATCGGCGAGGGCTCTGGGTTGCAGCATGCGCGGAGGACGATGACCTGACGGAAACGTCTTCAGACCCTTTTCGCGATCTAGAGAACGCAGACTCATCCCGCTCAGCCATCGAAGCTGAGGGAGGAGAAACGTCTTCACGTGCACGGTAGGACCGAATCGGCTCTGCGGGGTCATTTTTGACACTCGTTGCAGGCTTAACAGTCGCATCGCTCGGAACAGTCGTGTCGCGGACAGCTACCTTTTCCGCAGAAGCGGCGAGGGAACTCTCCCCAGGCCGTGCTTCTGGCAATCGATGCGGAGGTTCCGCAGGAGGTTCGCTCTCGGGCGGATCAATTCTTATATCTGATGCCTTTCCCACCGTATTACCAAATCCGAGCGATCGAGCATTGAGCTGAAATTTGGCAGCCACGGGTTTCGACTTCGGTGCAACGAGCGATATTGACACCCGTGGTGTCGCGGCTTTCGTTGCGTTCCCTTTCATCGCATTGGATGAAGCAAATAGTCCAGCGCGAATACCCTGCGTCAATGACTCGGCCGCGGGTGCTGCCGTGCTCGGCGAGCTTACAGGCGATCCAGCGCCGGACCGGCTATCAGAGCCGGTGCTCTTAACTCTCATACCAGAGCTACGATCCTGAGATTGTTGACGCTTCCCCTCAACTCCTTCGGACGGTAATCGCTGCAGACTGCTAGCCCTTACAGGGCCCGACTGGTATTCTCGTTCAGGCCGGGCATGTCGAACCGCCGAGGCAGCTCCCACTCCAAGTCCCTCCAGCCGCTTCCTCTTACGTTCCCCAGCGTCGCCAGATGAAGAATGACTCCGAGACAGATCAGGAGTTGCTCGCTTTGCGGAAAAGCGCTCGGCTGAACTCGACATGGCCTCCCGGACGTCGGCCATCGGATCACCAATTTTATGTGGTCTGGTGCGAACACTGACGAAAAGAGGAACCGGAAATCAGAGAACGCTCTCAGACAAGAAATGCTTTTCCAATAGCAAACATAGTTCTTCACAACTTTCAACCACATGCACTGCTTTTCCAAGCAAAAAGCGTTGGTTCGTTCACAGCTGACCGTTTTGCATCAGCCCAGCTAAACCACTGCTCGTACCTGTAAGCGCTCGTCGCAACGCAATGCACGGAGCTTCTTTCCGCTGCTGGCTGCGGTGAATATTCTCGACGTTTAATTTATGGCGCTCGTCCCCGTTGTTGGGAGGAGCGAACGAAGGGAAGCGAAATGGTGGAAAGGTGCGTGGCTCAGAGATCACCACGACAATAGTTTCGGGCTCAGACCGTTCACGGCTGTCACACACAAAATCAGTCATACCTTCAACTCTCGTGCATATCAGCGCTGATGGCCGAGTTGGTCTAAGGCGCTACGTTCAGGTCGTAGTCTCGCAAGAGGCGCGAGTTCGAATCTCGCTCAGCGCATTCACCTAAGCTTTTACACACGTACAGCTCGATTTTTGGGACGGGGAGGGTCCATAGAAATCTGTTCGGTTCGTCGGCGAAGGGGTGACTTCCATACTTCAGGCTTTTTTTTTTTTTCAACTGAACTATGATGCAGACCTGCAAAAAATCTATTTACGTTCTATCACGCCAAACCAGTGGCCACGATACATCATCATTCTCCCTCTCGAAGCGGTCACGCTGCTTCGACCGATCCTGTAGCGCTGCCTCTCCGCGAGCCGCCAATGCGGGCCACGACAGCTTCACCTACGGCACCATATATACTCCCAGCCCAGCTCTCCCGCCGCTTGGAGCTCACTGATTCCGACCCGAGCAGTGGCAGCGGCGGCAGTTGATCTACCGCCGAGGCTGGGCCCGCAAATCCGGCAATGGCCTCGAGACCACCAGGTACGCTGCGGTTGCGCCGCAAAAAGACACCGCTGGAAGATCCAGAGGTCGGAGATGTTGGCAAGCCTGCGTTCTTTGCGCCAGAATGCTGTCCACTTGCTGTTGGCCCTCCTCCAAAACGTTCCCTGCTTCCTTCAAGCCCTTCGCGAATCACGCCAAGCTCAACCCATTCGCCCACTGCCTCGACCAGCGGTGCAACGATAAACTCGATAAAGCTCTTTTGCGAGCTGCTCGGGTCGCCGCTTTTCGCGCCTTCCCGGTTGCAGAAAGGACTTATTGGAAGCCCGAGTTCCTTTTCTTTATCGCCTTGAGAAAAGAACTCTTCCGTAATCCGTTGGATCCAAGTGCTGTAGATGGGCCAGCTCTTTGTCGGATTAGACACATCTGAGCACTTCATCAGCCTAGTAAATGGGAATCGTCGCCGTCAGCATCAGAATTCACGTCTTCACATCCGGGAGATTGATAGCTTTGCTTACATCTGCATCAATAGCGTCCGGTCTTCCCGAGTAGAAATCGGGTCAAATCCTTCGCTTGTCAGCACCTTTTTCTTGAACATCGCAAGCAGTGAGAAATGCTGCGCGAGATCGGTTGCCAGAACCATCTCGACAATGCCTTCCCGCAGGCCCCGGTAATCCTTGCGTGGCATGCCACCAGCGAAATCGCAGCCGCTGCGGCGCATGATTTTGAACGCCGACGCGCAATGATGGTTCTCAAGAACCGATTTGTCGTTGTATAGCAACGCTCGCGGATCTGAGGTTGCGATGAGAAAATGGTTGTTGACTCCAGGATGGTCGTAGTCGTGGATGGCGGCGGCTATGTAAAAGGCCAGGACCTCCATGTCGGTGAAGCATTTGCGCAGGCGAGGAAGGGATATCAAGTAGTGAATGCAGTGAAGAACGTCGGTCGCATGTATCGAGTTGTGGACTAAGAGGATCGATGATTAATCACCAGCCGATGGTTCCTTGGCTATAATGCCTGCTCTCTGCGTTTGACTTACATGTGAGCTCGGGGTTGTAACCCTGTTCTATTTCCGACATAAAGTTGAGGAATTTGTCGACTGGCAACTGTAACCGCGCAAGCAGGCCGCTCTGAACAACCAAATGATGACTCAAAACGAGCAGCGGCCGGTTTTTCGTCGCCTGCTCAAAGTCGAAAATCGGAAAATTGTACTCGTTGATTCGAACAAGTAATGGAACCGTTTCCGGAGTATAATAGTCCTCAATGGCAACGGCAGGAATGTCGGGCGCCGGTGAAGCCGATCTCGAGCGATCTCGCCTGCCATATGGGCTAGCAGTGGAGGTGAAAACCCAAGGTGACCGTTGCGCTTCTGGCGTTGACGATTCTGAGCTGTTGTCCCCTGATATGTTCTTCCGGCGAGCTAATTGAGTGAACAGCCATTTCTACAAAAGAAGGAGATAAGCATTTTTGCGAGACCGCGTAATTTCAAACATAGTTTGACTGTACCTCCTGCTCGTCGTCGACTTGGACCTGCCCTCGCATCACCTGTTGGTCCAGATCGGGCGCCAGCAGGTTTGGCAGGCTCAAACAAGACATTATCATTGTCAACGTCTTCAAGTGCTCTGCGCCGACGCCTGGATTTGCCATCAGACACCGGAGCCCATATATCGCCTTTTCCAGCGGCGAGTCCAGATCTGCAATCCGGCTTTCATATCCTTTTTGCAATCCCTTCAGCTGTTTCCGGAGCTTCACGTTGATTGACAGGAAACGCTGGTCCGACAGATACTGAAGCCGGAGATTGCGTTCCACGTCGTAAGAGATAAAGCAAATGACCAATGCGGCCATTCCGACCGCCACCGCGGCAAAGGCAAATTCTGTCTGAGCTTCTGCCATTGAGCTCATGTCTTCGCGTTTTGCAGCGTCGATTCCAAAAACCAGCAACCACACCGGTGCCGCCGCGATGCACACGCCAAAGAGGGTATGAAGAAAACGTAACCGAAAGAAAAAGACGCAAGCGACCAGTTCAAATATGTATATCGGCGCTGTGAGCGATGGAGTATATCGCGGTTCTTCGGATATAAAATAGCGCCCGCATATGAGAACGGGAGCCACGATCCAGATGATGATGAGTGAAATATTGTGAATGTGGCGTCCCAATGTTTCTTTTGAGGCGTAAAAGCTCGTGAGTACAAGCAAAGTCATCGGAATCAGTCCGAGGGCGCCGACGAGGATAAAATCTTGATGTGGTAAACTGAGACCTCGCGGTTGTGAAAATTTGGTGACGAGTATTGTTTGCAGAATCGTGGTAGTGAGCACGCTGATTATCGCAAACTTTTTCCAAAGGTTAAGCGTCCGATCGAGGAAGTAGCGTTCGTACGTGCTTTCGACGTCTGGATCATGAAATGTCAAGGTAAACGACGAAAAGGAATTTGATATCGCGCTGAGATGCGCATCCATCACGTTCAAAAGAGTTGCCTCTCCGAACGGAAATGACTCCAAAGCTGGTGACATAACATGTCCTCCCAACTCTGGCGCGATCGGGGTCATACTAGGGTGACCCGAATCTGGATACTGCTGTGCCGAGCCGGTGGACTGCGACCGGAGCTTTGAAGTGAAATAATCAATGGAAGCTTGGTCGTTTGGATACTCAGAGCCGTAGTGCGATTTCCGCAAGCGCTTTAGCACGACGTCCCAAATTTTAAGTGAGCTGGATATTCCCGCGGCGGCACGGCCCGATGGCTTGCTCGGGCCACCGGCAGATAGATTGAGTGGTTCAGTAGAGGTTCGAGCTCCGTCGTAAGGTGAGCCTCCCACTTCTGAAGCAAAAGACGATCTCCGACTTCGTTCACCACCATCCATCTCAAGCTGCGGACCCTCGCTCAAGTCAGAGGCTCTTCGAGAGGATGACTTTGCGCTTCCACGGCCTGGAAGGCTGTTTACGGAAGATCGCCGGTTCGACAAGGACGTTGGTGTCGGAAATTGATATCCGTCGCTAGTGACACCGGCAACGCATATTGAAGTGCTGCTGGGCCGTCTAGCCGTAGTTGGCGAGGATGGTGGGTGGCCGTGGAGCGGCACGGTAAAAATCGTATGTTCCCTAGAGCCAGGCATTTGCGGCGGATGTGCAATGCGCTCAGTTACAAGGTATGGGAAGCGGCGCGCCTGCTGGTTGTCCCTCCAACCCTGCCCAATGCGGAACGTCTGTTTTGTTGTGGCAAAACAGCTGGCCCGTCAATCAGGCAACCCCGTTTGTATGCACGCCAGGCGCCGTCGGAGTTTTCCAAAAGGGCGAAGGGTGGGGTTGGCTCTAGCAAGCAAGAGTGAATTTTCGTACTTGCGGTCCAGTGGCTGCCGACAGAGTGAAATAGCAAAGGAGAGTTTAGCCCAGCGCAACGTTGACTGACGCCTGCTCTGGATTGGGGGCAGATCCGTGTCCAGCGGCAGCGGAGAAGAGAGTTCTTTCGCCCGCTGATAGTAGCTGCTTCACCTACAAGTCAATGCACGGGAGACCGGGAGGAAGAGATCACTTTTTGAGACAATGGCGGGGGTATGCGTATAGCGTCGGGAAGACAGGGACTCCCAGAATCAGCGAGCGAGCGGGTTTGAGTGTCCGGCCTTGTGGCGATTGATAATAATAATTATTACGAGCCCCGAGCAAATGCCGGAATGCCTCGTGCGGGGAGGGGGCGGGAGGGGGGTACGCAGGAACGGGGGGGACGCAGACGGGCCGGAGGCTTCAAAGCGCAAAAACCAGGAGACGTTCGGTGTTTCGGTTTTCACTCCGCCGCTATTGTAGCGACAGCGACAGACGACAGAAGCAACCTGCCAGCTTGCGGCTCCGGCAACGCCCCTGCCTGCTGTCCTTCCCAAATGTCGGTGAGGCTTTGGCCAAAACGAGCGCATGCGGATCGGTTCATAAAAGTATATAGCGGCGTACATGCCTGCGCTTCACAACGATTCCAACTTCCTTATGCAGCGGCGACGCATATCCACGCTACCAATCTATTAACCCTTCTGAATAGCAAGCGAGTTGCTCGCAGTAATGACGTTAATTGGAAGGTCAATCGGCGACATAGAACGGTTGTTTTGGACAGCGGGGGGTTAAATGTGTGGTGTCAGCGTTGGCCAGCCGTCTAAGCCCCCGCCGGCGTGTTGGCGGCGCCCTTTCCCACACACAGCGACCGACGTGAAAGACGCCATCCAGTCATTTCCCACGCTGCTGAGCACCGTCCGCGCTTTTCCATCCTCACCAAGACAAAAGTCACCTTCTTGGATCGATACATCCGTCGTTCCCACGCATCTGCTGCACTCAACACCATCCCCATATAGTATCGGTGGAGGAACAAAACGCGTGCCGTCAAATCTTCATTCCGCCCGTGCGTGAAACGTAAGTGCACCAGCGCGCATGGCAATACATGACAGCCAGCTCGACCAAAGCAAGAGGAAAGAATTAACGAGCGGTGCGGCGATTGCTAGATTGCGAAAATGGCGGGGCAAATCATACCCATCAAGTTCCAAGAGCATGTGCAGGTAAAGTCCCGACCTCATCTGTCCGGCCCACGTGCTGCCAAGCCTTTGCATTTCATGCTTTCGTGTTGGGCAATACTAACGCTACA